GACTAATACTCAGGGAAGTACAAATTAGAACCACATTGAGATAGCTTGCCTATTAGATTGGCAAAGATTAAAAAGACGGATAATGTTTACTGTTGGTGAGGGTTTACAGGCATTCTTACATTGTTGGTAAGAGTAAAAGTCTATGCAAAATTTTTTTTGTAGAGCCACTTCTCAGCTTCTATCAATATTTTAAAATGCTAATCCTGAGACCCCACAATTCCACCCCTAGCAATTTTTCCTATAGTAGGACTCACTCTGTTGGTTGAAGATCCATGCCCAGAATTGTTCACTACCTTCATTTAAAATAGCATATATGCTTGAGCCCAGGAGTTTGAGGCTGCAGTGAGCTATGATCATGTCACTGCACTCCAGCCTGAGTGACAGAGCAAGACTTTGTCTCTTAAAAAAATGAAAATAGGCCTGGCGCAGTGGCTGACGCCTGTAATCCCAGCACTTTGGGAGGCCGAGGCGGGTGGATCAAGAGGTCTGGAGATGGAGACCATCCTGGTCAACATGGTGAAACCCCGCCCCTACTAAAAATACAAAAAATTAGCTGGGCATGGTGGCGCGTGCCTGTAATCCCAGCTACTCAGGAGGCTGAGGCAGGAGAATTGCCTGAACCCAAGAGGCGGAGGTTGCGGTGAGCCGAGATCATGTCAATGCACTCCAGCCTGGGTAACAAGAGCGAAACTCCATCTCAAAAAAAAAAAAAAAGCATGTACAGACAACAATTCAAATGTTCATTGCAGAAATTATGATTATTACTGTTGTTTTTTTTTTTAGAGACAGGGTGTCACTCTGTTGCCCAGACTAATCTTGACCTCCTGGGATCCTCAAGGGATCTTCCAGCCTCTGCTTACCAAAGCTCTGGGATTACAGGTGTGAGGCACTGGGTCTAGACCACTGTAGGGATTATTAAACCATGGCGTATACTACCATTAAAGTCATGAGGTGGGTTTGTTTTTTTTTTGTTTGTTTGTTTGTTTGTTTGTTTTTCAGACAGTTTTGCTCTTGTTACCCAGGCTGGAGTGCAATGAGGCGATCTCAGCTCACCGCAACCTCCGCCTACTGGGTTCAGGCAATTCTCCTGCCTCAGCCTCCTGAGTAGCTGGGATTACAGGCACGCGCCACCATGCCCAGCTAATGTTTTGTATTTTTAGTAGAGACGAGGTTTCACCATGTTGACCAGGATGGTCTCGATCTCTTGACCTCGTGATCCACCTGCCTCGGCCTCCCAAAGTGCTAGGATTATAGGCTTGAGCCACCGTGCCCGGCATGAGGTGGATTTTATGTGCCAACCTAGAAAGATGGTGCAAAACCATAGAGGAAAAAATTTTGCATAGACTTTTACTCTCACCAACAATGTAAGAATGCCTGAAGAAGGCTACAAAGTGGCAGCACAGCAGGAGTCTTTAAGAAATATGTATTTGTTTCAGCTTAAGAAGTGTCTGGACAGGTGCAGTGGCCCCCACCTGTAATCTCAGCACCTGGGGAAGCTGAGGTGGGTGGATCACTTGAGATTAGGAGTTTGAGACCAGCCTGGTCAACATGGTAAAATCCCATCTCTGATAAAAACACAAAAAAATTATCTGGGCTTGGTGGTGGTTGCCTGTAATCCCAGCTACTCGGGAGCTGAGGCAGGAGAATAATCTGAACCCTGGAGCAGAGGTTGCAGTGAGCTGAGATCGCACCACTGCATTCCAGCCTGGGTGACAGAGTGAGACTCATGAAAATAAAAATCAAAAAAGAAAAAGCAGAAGTGTCTCCATGCATTTGTGCCTATCTGCTTACAGTAGCTACTTCTAGGGGAAGGTGAAAGGGGACCCTGTTAAAAATGTTTTCTTCTGTATTGTTTTTCTTCAAATGAGTCTGCATTGCTTTTATGTGTAATACTCTCCCAAAGCCTGATGTTCAGTTTGCCTTAGCTGATGGAAGGAGAAGCTGCACCTCTGGTTTTGGCAAAGCGTAAGAGAGAAGGGCACTGCTCTGCACCTGCACAGGGTCCTCGCTTCCTGGGGCCAGTTTAATGCATGTCAGTGGTGTTTCTTGGGAAGAACACAGTGGACACTCACTTGCCAGTCAGTAGACAAATCACTGAAGTCTGTGTCTGGCAGTCCTCAGTGTGACGGGGACTGAAAGGCTGTCATGTCTCACAGTTCCCTGGCTTACAAGATCAGCAGTGACAGACACTTCTCAGTTCTGCTTGGGAGAGCAGCTCTGTGATGCGCTTGTGGTTTCAGATGTGGGCGGCCTGTGTGAACTTGTCGTGCAAGGCTCACGTCACCAGCTGCGGCAGTTATCTCCTGAATCAGGTTGAGGGTCTTTGCTGTGCACCCAGAGACAGTTGGGAGACAAGTCACCTCCAGGTTGGAGGTGCCTCAGACTTGTGATGGGACTGGGCAGATGCATCTGGGAAGGTGAGTCTGTGCTTTGGGTTTCTCAACCTCTCAAGTCAGCATGAAATTCAGGAGGTAGAGAAGGACAAGTGGCCCTCCATCCATGGGCCCAGGGAGCCACTGTGGAAGCATGTTATTTTAGAGCACCACCCTAGCTTTACCTCCTCTGGTGTTCTGGCCTTGGGTATGTCTTAGAGATAGCAAAATTCGCAGAGCTGACCTCAAGGATTCCAAACTGATTTCCAGTCCTGTAGGGGTCATGGTTTCTGCTGTGGCCAGTGTGAACATGCTCCAACTGGATGGAGGGAAGGGCATTGTCTTTGTCAGGCAGAGTTTCTAATTATGGAAGGAACTCTGCTTCCTCGATGATTGAACTGACCTTTGTGGGGGTGAGAATGAATGGGCATACTTGGGCTCCAATTGTCATGGCCACAGGGTGGAGCTGAGGTCTAGGCCCAGGGCAGGGAAAGCCTCTAGCAACCCCCAGCCATTTGGTTGTTTTAGGGCAGAAGAGGAGCCAGGAGGATTGGGATACCCCACTGGACCTATGTGTGGGGCAGCAGGTGAGGGTGGAATTCCAGACGGAGGGTCAACCCAGCCAAGCAGAGGAAGGGGAGGAGACGGTTTGTTTTGGAAAGAGCATAGCCCTCTCAGTTTCCTGGGATATAGATAGTCTGGAGGATGTGGGCCCTGGTGGGATCCTCCTGTGCCCTCCCTGCCCCCTGCTCTTCCTGTGACTTATGCTGTTCTGGGCTCACCCTCTCTTCAGAGCTTATCTACATGGGGTAGATTAGTACCAAGAGTGGATATCCTCACAGCACATCTTTAAGTAACATCCCAGAGCCCTGCTTCTGGATGTTCACAACATGAACATCATCCAGAAGCAAGGGCAGCCTCTGCCAGAGTGGAGGGGTTGGAAAAAGATTTATCAAACAGTTGAGATGGGTGCAGGGAATGCAACATGATCAGACAGGGTCTTGCCTCAAGGAGCCTCATGTAGGGACATCACACAGTGATAACCTTCAACTGCAGTGGAGTAGCAAAGCTGTGGGCAGAGCAGGCAACACATGAGTACCTCTTCACAAAGACAGCAGGAAGAGGATGGGCATCATTTTTCCATCTCAGCTGCAGACTCTAGGAATCTGTGCCAATACCTTTACTCTAGCCCTGGCCTATGGCCACTGCCCAACCCTTGGGTCCTGTCAATTCAGGCCCCTGCTCCCATTTCCAGCCCCATCTTCTGTCACAGCTTCCATGACCCCAGGCTCCAGCTGCGTCTAGGGTCTTCCTCTTCCCCCAGCTGACAGAAGAACTTGCTGGACAAGTGTCCACTTAAATAGCAACTTCCACCCTATCCACCTCAATGGCTGCCAGCCTCCTGAATGGGCCAGAAGAACCAGGATATGCTTTCCTGTCCCCATTAAAAAAGACAAAATTAGACCAGGTGTGTTGGCTCATGCCTCTCATCCTAGCACTTTGGGAGGCCGAAATGGGTGGATCACTTGAGGCCAAAAGTTTGAGACTAGCCTGACCAACATGGTGAAACCCTGTCTCTACTAAAAATACAAAAATCAGGCTGGGCGCAGTGGCTCACGCCTGTAATCCCAGCACTTTGGGAGGCCAAGGCGGGTGGATCACTAGGTCAAGAGATTGAGACCATCCTGGCCAACATGGTGAAACCTCATCTCTACTAAAAATACAAAAAAAAAAAAAAAATTAGCTGGGCATGGTGGTGGGCAACCTGTAGTCCCAGCTACTCAGGAGGCTGAGGCGGGAGAATTGCTTGAACCCAGGAGGTGGAGGTTGCAGTGAGCCGAGGTCATGCCACTGCACTCCAGCCTGGCATCTGGTGACAGAGTGAGATTCTGTCTTGGGAAAAAAAAAAAAAAAAATTAGTGAGATGTGGTGACACATTCTTGTAATCCCAGATACTTGGGAGGCTGAAGCAGGAGGATTGCTTGAACTTGGGAGGCGTAGGTGGCAGTCAGCCAAGATCACGCCACTGCACTCCAGCCTGGGTGACAGACTGAGATGCCGTCTCAAAAAAAAAAAAAAAAAACAAAAAACAAAACAAAAAAAAAACATATATATATATAATGGGCTCTGTGAAATTGTATAAGGCGAACTTGGAGAGTGTGCTTCAAGTCACAGAGGAGCCCAGGGCTACCTAGCCAGCCTCCATGACGGTGGCCTGCTCTGGCCTAAAATTCTGCTTGGTGTTAGGTGAGTGCTCAGGGGATGAGGGCCAGGGAGGGTGAAGGGCTGAGCCTGTCTGAAGACCCTCCTGTGGGTGTGGCAGAGCCTGTGGCCTGAGGCAGGGCTCCAGCTGCAGGGCAGCCCACAGCTTCACAGTGGCCCAGGGAACCAGGGCAGGCAGGCCACGAGGCTCAGTAGCCATCTGGGCCAGAGCTTGACACATGGAAGAGGTGGGGCTCTCAGAAGAGACCAAAAAATGACCCATGGACTGAAGGCTATGTCCACAGACCCAATGTGGGAGAGGCTGTGCCAGGCAGTGATGTCAGCCAGGCTCCCCAGCAGGACTGGGGGTGTCAGGGGCAGCTCTGTCCCAGGTTGCAGACACTCGGTTTCCCTCCTGCTCTCACAACCACCCTGTGAGCGGGTGTTGTTTGAGCTGTGGTGAGGCCTCCCTGGTGACATCCAGGAGCAGGGAGCCTGTGGGTCGGGGTGTGTGCACCTGCCCGGACTGATTGGCCCTGTGGTCCAGGATGGAGGAAGGGAGCTCTGCCTGCAGCCACCCCATTTATAAAGCATTGTGGTGCCTTCGGTGGGGGTGTGTGCTGAGGGTTACCTCACAGGCACTGCCCTCGGGAAGTTCACAGGCTTGTGTAGAAGCTGGTGGGAATGTGCCAAGAACAGAGGTGCCAGGAGCCAGGTATTGGGCAGGTCCCAGGTCTCTGAGCTTCAGTTTCCTTACCTGTAGGAGGTTGGTGACCCTGCCCTGCTCAGCTTACCAGGTACAGGTGTAAGTTTTCAGTACAGAGGAAAAGCAGAGACCTTCCCCTCAGATAGCCGTCGTGTTCACTGTACTTAACTCTCTTGTCTTGCTTTGTAGCTCTCAGGTGTCACATGTGGATCCTGCCCCACTATCCCTCTTCCCTGTCTAGAAATGAGGCCTGCTGAGCTTGGAGCCATCCCAGCAGGACTGGGGGTGTCAGGGGCAGCTCTGTCCCAGGCTGTAGACACTGGGTTTCCCTCCTGCTCTCACAACCATCCTGTGACCAGGTGTTGTTTGAGCTGTGGTGAGGCCTCCCTGGTGACATCCTGGAACAGGGAGCCTGCGGGTTGGGGTGTGTGCACCTACCCAGACTGACTGGCCCTGTGGTCCAGGATGGAGGAAGGGAGCTCTGCCTGCAGCCACCCCATCCCACTCCTCGCTCTCAAGACGTCTGCTTCTGGGTTAGCCTATGGCCAGCCTGGCCTGATTCTACGCAGATGTGGGTGTTTCTCCACGGCTGGTGTAGCCGTTACCCTTCCTGGGGCCTAGGTCAGCTCTCAGGTGTGGCTGTTGTGCCTGGGCTTCCTTAAGGTTCTGGTAATCATTCTAACCCTGACTTCACATATCCCAGGAGCCGGCTGACTGTCTTCCTCATCTTTCCAATAACTGCTGCAAGAAGGAACAGACACTGCTGCAGAGAACTTGTCATGGTGTTTCATGCTGTGGCTGGTGGTGCCAGGCTGCACGCTCCATTCTAGGGAAGGGTGAGACTTCCTGATCATCAGTCTTAACGGGGGACTGTCCTGTGGGTACCTGGATACACTGCCGGGAGTGGCGTGGAGTGGGGTTAGGGTAGTGCCCACTGCCCATTGAGGATGTGCTGGTTTCTTAAGGGTGTGCGTGCTGTAGTTTGCATGCATGTCTGTTTTTTTTTTCTCCTTCCTTATCACTAATCAGTCTTGTATAACTAGGCTGGCCCTGCTTCCTGCCTAGGGGCTATCGGTGTAGCATCTGGAACTGCAAATGGGGTGATAGGGCATCAGCAGCCTTCCCACACCCAAGTACTTCCTGACACCCAGCCCCTCATCTCCAGCCAACCTCTGGCTCCCCCAGGGATCCTGGGGCTCAGGCCTCACACTTCAGCATGGGGGGGCTTTGCCTTTCTGGTGGTGCTCTTCCTTGGCACAGATACCCCGCTGCCATCCTTGTCCACCTTCCTGGGGCAGAACCCTGGGATGGGTCTTTATTTAAGAAGACAAAAAGGAGAGAGAATACATAGAGGCTGGGCACGGTGGCTCACGCCTGTAATTCCAAGACTTTGGGAGGTCGAGACAGGTGGACCCCTTGAGGTCAGGAGTTCAAAACCAGCCTGGCCAACATGGTGAAACCCCGTCTCTACTAAAAATACAAAAAAAAATTAGCCGGGTGTGGTGGCGGACGCCTGTAATCCCAGCTACCTGGGAGGCCAAGGTAGGAGAATCACTTGAACCGGGAAGGCAGAGGTTGCAGTGAGCCAAGATTGCACCACCACACTCCAGCCTGGGCAACAGAGGGAGACTCCATTAAAAAAAAAAATTCTGTAGAGGTTGTCTGTGTGACCTTGGGCAAGCCATCTCCCCTTCTCAGGACTCAGCTTCTTGCCTGTGAATGCGAGTGACCAGTTCCCCCAACCCTGTCTCCCCTGCAGGGGGTGGGGATGGGCTGGCTGAGGCAGACGTGGAGACCTAGCTGAGTCAGAATACAGGATCTAAGTTTGAGGGTGCATCTCACACACTGCAGCCATGAGTCTTTGGCTGGGTCAAATGGCTTTTCTGAGCTTCAGTTTCTTACGAGTAAAGCCTGGGCAATGGTGCCCAGTGTCTTTCTTTCTTTTTTTTTAATTGCATTTTAGGTTTTGGGGTACATGTGAAGAACATGCAAGATTGTTGCATAGGTACACATGTGGCAATGTGATTTGCTGCCTTCCTCCCTCTCACCTATATCTGTCATTTCTCCCCATCCTATCTCTCCCCAACTCCCCACCCCCCGCTGTCTCTCCCCTATTTCCCCCCAACAGACCCAGTGTGTGATGCTCCCCTCCCTGTGTCGTGTTCTCGTTGTTCAACCCCTGCCGATGAGTGAGAACATGCGGTGTTTGATTTTCTGCTCGTGTCAGTTTGCTGAGAATGATGGTTTCCAGGTTCATCCATGTCCATACTCATTGTTTTTGATGGCTGTGTAATATTCCATGGTGTATATGGGAATATATCCAAAGGATTATAAATCTTTCTACTGTAAGGAAATTTGCACACGAATGTTCATTGCAGCATGGTTTACAATAGCAAAGACCTGGAACCAACCCAAATGCCCATCGATGATAGACTGGACAGGGTGCCCAGTGTCTTTCACAGGACACTGTGTGAGTGCAAGTGGGGTACCCACTGAGCACTCTGCTGAGCACCCTCCAGAGAGGGATGGCTCGCTCGCACAGGGCCCTCAGCTCAGTCCCTTGCAGGCTGGACCTTGGAGAGTGAGGCCCTGAGGCAAGTCATGGGCACCTGGCTCCTAACCTACATCTGCGTCTGCACCTGTGTCTGCTCAGGAGTCTCCGTCCCAGGGGAAGGACGAGGTGAGGGCTGGGCACTGGTGTCTGTGTGAGGCGGGTGGAGAACTAGGGCATATTTGGGGGACTGGGTTGTCCTCTGTCGAGCCCCTAGGGAAAAGTTTGGCCCAAACTGTGCTGGGGCATGTCCTCTAGGGGTCAGCCTGGACCTCAGTCTCTAGTCTCCCACCTTTACCTCTCTACCTTCGGTGTCTGGATTGACCTTAGTCTCACTTCCTTCATCCTCTTGACACCTCTCTGAGTCTAACTGGCCCATGTACCATGAGTCAGAGCTCATCACTTCCCAGGCCTATCAGTGCTTCCCTGAATAGATTCTGGGATCATTCACTGGTGACTGCCCTGCGAGGATGTCAGCCATCAGATCCCCCCAACCCTCCAGCTCAGCTCTGCCCTGAATCACTTACTGTGGGCTCCCAACCATCATTGTCTCCAGGGCCAAGGGCTGGAACCTTCACCTGCCTCACCAACAACATCCTCAGGATCGATTGCCACTGGTCTGCCCCAGAGCTGGCCCAGGGCTCCAGCGCCTGGCTCCTCTTCACCAGGTGAGGATGGAGGGCCATGCCCACCTGGACAGGGATGAGGGAGAGGTCCCCAGGATTGCAGCAGTTGCACCAGAACAGTGTAGCAGCCCCGTGGTTCTGATACACGCCCTTTCCAGCAACCAGGCACCTGGCGGCACACATAAGTGCATGTTGCAGGGCAGTGAGTGCACTCTACTGCTGCCACCCGAGGCGGTGATCCTGCCATCTGACAATTTCACCATCACTTTCCACCACTGCGTGTTTGGGAGGGAGCAGGTCAGCCTGGTGGACCCGCGGTACCTGCCCCGGAGACACGGTGAGCAGGGGCTATAGGTCTGGGATGGGACCTCCTTGGCAAGAACATCCTATCTGCCTGGTAGCTGGGGGCAAGGCCCTGCAGCCTGTGACCCCGGTGGCCCAGTGAATGTTCTCAGTCCCTGCCAAGTGAGATCCAGGGCTTGGGGTGGGGTTGGCCCCTGGGAGGGGAGAGCCCACATATTTACTGCAGGGGCAGGGTTTCAGCATGAAATAAAGATGCAGGGCTGCTAGCTGGGGCACGGGCTGCCATTTAAGTCATGTGAAATGCTCTTCAGTCATCCCAGGAAGGACTCCAATAATATGTTGGGAAGAATTTTCAGCAGTTGACTGTGAAGGAAAAGGAAGCAATATTTAGAAACCACCTAATCACGCTGCAGAGGCCAGTGGAAGTGATTGCTGTCCTGTCCCGCCTGGGGCTTTACTGGACCTGTCTCCCAGTGAGGTGTCTGGTCGGAGAGGGCTTTGACCATGCCCCTTGGGAATCTTTCAGATCCCCAGTCTTGGGTGTGCTGATTGACAGACCCAGACCCATGGACCTTCAGCCTCACATGGATTCACTCTGTTCCAGTTAAGCTGGATCCACCCTCTGACTTGCAGAGCAATGTCAGCTCTGGCCACTGCATGCTGACCTGGATCATCAGTCCTGCCTTGGAGCCAATGACCACACTTCTCAGCTATGAGCTGGCCTTCAAGAAGCAGGAAGAGGCCTGGGAGGTAACACTTTGGCTGGTTTTCTCCAGAGTCCTCTCTCCTGGGAACAGCAGCCCAGGGCAGAATCCCCACTCTACACAGGGAGATGTCAACTGATAGTGATGAGGAGGGGAGGAACGAGAGCTAGGTGTGTGTGTGTACACACACATATACTGACATGCCCATGTGTATGCTTTGTGTGCGTGCATGGGAGTTAGGGTGAGTGTGCCTGTCTCTGTGAGTGTGTGCCCGTAAGAGTGGTGAGTGTGCATGTATGTACTTATGTGTGCACACATAGAAGTGTGCACACTTACATGTTTGTGCACCCATGTTTGTGTGTTTATATGTCAGTGTACATGTGAGTGTGCCAGTGCCTGGTGTTTGTATACGTGAGTGTGCCTGTGTGGATGGGTGTGTATGCAACTGTGGTGAGTGTGGTGAGTGTGCTCATGCATACACGCATGTGCATATGAGTGTGCATGCAACTGTGATGAGTGTGAAAGTGCCCCTGTAGATATGTTTGCCTGCGTGTGCATATGTGTATTTGGGGCAAATGCAGCCGTGTCTGTGTGTGAGTGTCAGTGTCAAAGTATGCCTTCTCTGTGTGTGTGCACATGAATGTGGCGAATGTGCCTGTGTGTTAACTCAGGTGTGTTTATGTGTGTGTTATATGAGCATATAATAATACATGTGTGTATTCTCGAGGGCTGAAGGTTGAAACCTTACCTTCAGCACCTGCTAACAGTCTCCACCCCCACAGCGGGCCCAGCACAGGGATCACATTGTTGGGGTGACCTGGCTTATACTTGAAGCCTTTGAGCTGGACCCTGGCTTTATTCATGAGGCCAGGCTACGTGTCCAGATGGCCATGATGGAGGATGATGTGGCGGAGGAGGAACGTTATGCAGGCCAGTGGAGCGAGTGGAGCCAGCCTGTGTGCTTCCAGGCTCCCCAGAGACAAGGTGGGCACTGCTGTGGCTCCTGCACTTCCAGAGTCTGGGCTGGGTGTCCTCTACCCTGTTCACCTCACCCCTACACCCTTTGAACCTCCTGGAAGCCCCTCCTTGAGGCAGTCATGCCCCAGTTGACACCCATCCTCTGAAGCTCTGAGGTCTAAATGGAGGAAGCAAACACCTGTCAATGCTGGGGCTTCCTGAGAACTTGTAGTCAGTGGCGCCTGTTAGGACTGAGGTCGGCAGGGCTGCACACCAGGGCTGGTGCTCCTGCGTGGAGGCTGGATGTGACCTCAGTGTCCTTAGTGAGAGCTGGGCCGACCCTTGTGCATTGCAGTGCTGAGAGGTCCCATGGACCTTATGACCCAACATGTGGAAGATGGGAAGAGTGAGGTCCAGGTATGTGGCTCATAAACAAGGTCCTTCAACAGGTGACACAAACCTTCAAGGCCCATCACAAATCTTCCACTTTGGCCCAGGGCACTAAACGGTGCACCTTTGCCATGTAGGTTTGTGGGGAGCCTCCTGGCACTAAGGCTGCTCACAACCCTGGGCCCTTCCTGCCCATAGGCCCTCTCATCCCACCCTTGGGGCGCCCAGACAACATCCTTATTGCTGTGTCTGTCTTTCTCCTGCTGACTGGCCTGATCTACCTTCTGTTCAAGCTGTCACCCAGGTAGGTAGCTGGTGTGTGTGTGTGTGTGTGTGTGTGTGTGTGTGTGTGTACTTGTGTGAAAGGGTAAGGGTGTACATGTCTTAGTGTATGTGTGAAGATGTATCTCTATGTGCATGTGTGAGTGTGAGGTGGGTGGGGTATCAAGGGCCACCCCTGTCTGGTTCCTCCCTTCCCCTCCCCACTGTCGAGGTTAACAGTGGGGTGGGCTTCTCAAGTCTTCCCCGTGGGCCAGAAGAGAGTTCTCAAGTTGCCAGGGGAGAGAAGGGAAGGGGGATCTGGGGCAGAGGCTGAAGATGAGGACAGCTTGGTCCCAACCAAACCGAGAATCACGGAGATCAGGAGCCCAGGGTCCTGGTCTCCTGCCTCTGGAGGAGCTCTGTTCGTTCATCTGTTCACACATTCTATGAAAGGACATTTGGGGCATCTGGTGTGCATGGGACCCTGTTCTCACCCTGGCAGATGCGTTAGAGAACAAGTTGGACAACGGCGCTCCTTAAATAAACCATCATGCCTCATGCACCGCATGTGAGGTTGCAAGAGAGGGTGCTGGGGCCGTGTCAGGCAGCAGATGTGAAGAAGAGGGTGTGGGGACAGGGGTGTTGCCTGGGGCCAAGTGGGAGGGCACTTGGCTTCTCCTTGGAGCAAAGGAAAGTATGAAACTGTGTGATACAACCTAGTTTATCTTTTGAGGAATGGATTGCTGGACAAGGGGACATGGGAGACCTTCTGGAGGCCAATGTGCGCCAATGGGGTACCCACCAGGAGATGATTTGGCTTGAGCCAGCAAAAGAAGTGGAGAAAGAGCAAAGAAGAGGGAAATGCAGGGTCTTAGGAGGAGAAATAGAGGGGACATGTGGCTAGATGAGATATGAGTGGTGACCCCTGAGGTGGGGAAAATGGGGACAGCCTTGCAGGGAAGTTGGCGAGCCCCAGGTGACATCCTTGTGGGAGAGTCAGTGGATCCTCAGCAGCAAGCCTGGTGCTCAGGGAGACACTGGGTGGCGTGGGCGCTGCAGACCTCCTGCTGATGGCAAAGACGGGTTCCTGGAGGTGCTGGCTCCCTCTGTGGACTGACACAGCCGGTAACTCTCTGTTCTGAACCTGCCATTGCAGGTCACGCTGTCAAGGACATGTGCCTCGGCATAAATCAGTCCCATGTGGCCATTAGGCAAGGAGGCCCAGATGGGTCCTGACCTGAGAGTGGGTTGGGATGTGATGAGATGGAAGAGAGGCTCAGCCTCTGCAGTGACCTCAGTCCACTTGGGTTGCCATAGGCGTCTGACTGGCCTCTCCTGGCCTCAGGGTGAAGAGAACCTTCTACCGGAACGTGCCCTCTCCAGCGGCATTCTTCCAGCCCCTCTACAGTATGCACAATGGGAACTTCCAGGTGGGTGCAGAGACCTCGGCAGGGTGTGGCGGGCAGGGGTTCACTAGATTGCTGGCCTGGCCAAGATGTTGGCTTTCATGAGGGTTGGCGGCCAATGTGGGAGCCTTGTCTGTGCTTGGAGTCCCTTTTGTATATTAAGTGAATTTCGATTTATACCATGTCTCAAATGGGGAAAAAATAGCTTTATTTTTCCATTGCTGATGGCTTTTTGTTCTCGTGTCTCCAGTTCCATTGTTGATGGAAAAAAATGTAAATGTCTCATGACTGATCTCTGTCTCCTCTGGTTTGTACCTGTCTGCACCCACCACGTGCGTCACCTCCTCCTCCTGTGAAGGTGTCTGTGGGGAAGGGTCTGTGTTGGATGCACTGCCATTGGGGCTCTCACTGCCACTGGGTTCCTGCTCTGCCTGGTCCTCTGGTCCCCCTTGGATCGCACTTTCTTCCCTTCCCCGCATGTTGGGCTCTCAACCGAGGAACCAGTGAGCAACTGGGCTGGAGGTTCATGCCCTCTGGGTGGGAGGAGGGGGAGAGGAAGGGCTCCAGTGGTCTCTGGTTTTTCCCTTCAGACTCCTCATTTTGGGCAAAGGACAAGAAGCAGTGAGGGCCCCTCCCTGCGGTCTGGGCCAAGCTGACCCCTCTTCTCCAGGATCTTCCCTGCTGGATGCCCTCAGGCATCCCTGGACCCTCTGTGGCAAGGATGTCCCCTCCACACCACGGCTCCTGCTTACTGTGCAGAAAAATCCTTTTCTCGCTCAATAAGGAGCCTAGTTTTCAAGATTTTTGTCCAAAAATAGAATTTGAACCATGAACTGGCAACTGGCTCTTTTCAGAGTCCCCCTCTTTCCCTAAGGTGGTAGATGTGACTGTCAAGAACCTGGGCAGCTGAGAACAAGGCTGAGCAGGGCACAGATTGTGATGGTCACCTGGACTGTCATCCTGTTGCAGGCACCAGCCCTTCCCTAGAGAACCAGGGCACTTGCCAGGGGTTATTTAGACCCTCGGGCGGGGATCTAGTGCCATAGGTTGGTCTCCAGAGAGTAGTGCAATGATGGAGGGTGTGGTGTGTGTGGTGTATGGGCTGGAGGCTCCTGGTCCTACCAAGGGAACAGCTTCTCTTTGGATGTAGGGGGCCTCCTGTGGCCCCACAGAAGGATCCAGTTCTGCTGGTCTTAGCCAAGTGCTTTGAAAGTCACCAGTCCTGACAGCGACTCCTGTGTGTGTGTGTATGTGTGTGTCAGGTAGGAGTGCCCAGTCTCAGTAGCTGCTGAAAGGCCCTGAGGCACATGCTGTCAGGCGTTGGCTCTATCCTGGGCAGATATCACCATCTGCACCTTGGTTCAGGCTGTTGTGAGCACCAAGCCCTTTGCTGGGGGAGTCATGAGGGCCTAAAGGGACTCAGAGTCCCATGTTCAGGCTGGGCTGGCACATGGAGCAAAGACAGAATGTTCAAGACATAGGTGCTGCTTTGTCTCTGGGTGTGGACTTCAGGAGGGCTTCCTGGAGGAGGAGGGAGGCTGGGCTTGCCACAGAGGAGGCAGCTGCTCCCACGATGAGTTCTGAACATGCTGCCTGAGCCCTTCCTTCCTCCCGCACTCTGTTCCAGACTTGGATGGGGGTCCACAGGACCGGCGTGCTGCTGAACCAAGACTCTGCTGGCACCTCACGAGGAGCCTTGGAACCCAGTGTCCAGGAGGCCATTGCACTGCTCACCTGTGGCCCACTGTATCCTTGGAAATCTGTGTTCCTGGAGGAGGAGCAGGAGAACACCGGGACCAGCGTCCTGGGGAACCTGACCTCAGAGGATGTGCTGCCAGCAGGGTGTACGGAGTGGAGGGCACAGCCGCTTGCCTATCTGCCACAGGAGGACTGGACCCCCATGTCCCCCACCAGGCCAGCTCCCCCAAACTCAGAGGGCGGCAGCAGCAGCAGTGACTACTGTGGTGTCTTGGACTGCTACAGGGGATGCCACCCCTCAACCCTCCCTAGAAACATGCAGAGCTCTGGGCCCATCCCAACCATGGCCCGTGGCCTTTCCTGTGAGCATCAGGGCCTGGAGACCCAGCAAGGAGGTGCCTGGATGCTGGCTGGTCACTGCCAGAGGCCCGGGCTGCATGAGGACCTCCAGGGCATGTTGCTCCCTCCTGTCTTCAACAAGCCTCGGTCCTGGACATTCTAGGTCCCTGATGCATCATGTCCATTTGGGAAAATGGACTGAAGTCTCTGGAGCCCTCGTCTGGGACTGAACCTCCTGAGAAGGGACCCTTAGCAGTGTTCAGAGGTCCTGTCTGGATGGAGGCTGGAGCTGGTCCCAGTGTTTTTCTGATCCTCCTTTCTAGAGATTAAAAGGGGCTTGATGGCTGTTGCAAAGTATTGATAACTGGAAGGAGGGGCCAAAGGAGGAGTGAGGGGTAGGGTTTGACCAGTCCCGGGCTTTCTGGGCTCTAGAACTAGCACAGTGGAGGCTCAATGACTTCTGGGGACAGCAGTGCCTTAAGGAGGGTGCCATGCATAATTTATGGGTTAGGTGAGTGTCATCACACATATGGGGGGCGGTGATCAGATGCAGTAAAGAATCATGCTAACACATACGTTGCATGATTAGAAAATGGCAATAAGCTCTTCCCTGGGTGGAGACTTTAGTATTATCATGAGGCCAGGGGTAAGTATTATCATAAGGCCACGGCCATTCTCCTGGTCTTGTGCACCAGCAGGTGACAGAGTCAACTCCCTTATGGTGGGATGATGCTTCTCTTATTTTTTTCTCAGACAGTTGGCAAGGTCTGGTCAGTTAGTATGGCACCTGGAGGGCGATGCTGCAAGGTCTGGTGGTCAGTGGGCATGTATGGAACACATTAGTGGGAGTGGGGCAAGTCCCATTTCTGCTCTGTCTCAGCAGGCGTACGCTCCCTCTGAAGGTACTAAGGAAGGATCAGTTTCAGGCCTCTCTTCATCTTCTGTTAGTTTCTTGGCTTGTGACAGCAAAGCTCCAATCTTTTTTGTTTTGTTTCGTTTTGTTTTTGAGATGGAGTTTTACTCTTGTTGCCCAGGCTGGAGTGCAGTGGCACAATCTTGGCTCAATGCAACCTCCATTTCACCTCCCAGGTTCAAGCGATTCTCCTGACTCAGCCTCTGGAGTAGCTGGGATTACAGGTGCCTGCTACCGTGCCTGGCTAGTTTTTGTATTTTTAGTAGAGACGGTGTTTCGCTGTGTTGGCCAGGCTGATCTCAAACTCCTGACAGCAAGTAATCCACCTGCCTTGGCCTCCTAAAGTATTGGAATTACAGGTGTCAGCCACCATGACTGGCTAAAGCTCCAGCCTTTAAATGGCTTTTTTCCTTCTGCATTTGATCCCAAATCCCGCCCCTGCCAAGTTTTTTTTTTTTTTTTTTTTAGATGAAATCTCAGTCTCTCTCACCCAGGTGCAATCTCGGCTTTACAGCAGGAGCATAACCCTGCTGATACAGAGCAGATCTCGGCTCACTGTGATCTCCATCTCCCAGATTCAAGCAATTCTACTGCCTCAGCCTCCTGAGTAGCTGGGATTAGAGGTGCATGCCATCACACCCAGCTAATTTTTGTATTTTTAGTAGAAATGGGATTTCACTGTGTTGGTCAGGCTGGTCTTGAACTCCTGACCTTGTGATCCACCTGCCTTGGACTCCAAAAGTTCTGGGATTACAGGTGTGAGCCATCATGCCTAGCCAAATTTCCCCTTTTTAAAATCATGATCATAGTGGATTAAGGCTGGCCCTAACGATTTACTCCTAACTTGATCATCTGCAAAGACACTATATCCGTATAAGGTCATATTCACAGATACTGGGATTAGGACTTCAACCTAGAGGGCCTGACTATTGGTGTCACACACCATGGCCTCTCCTAGTGTGCCCCATCCTCTTCCTGGGTGCCCCAGGCAGAACACAGGAGGGCCTGACTGCAGGACTTTAGGCTGGCATTGGGATGATGATCTGCCTAGCTAGGGCTGTGACCAGACTCAGATAGGAGGTGGGACCTGACTCCTGAGGCAAGACTTGAACTCTGGACCAGATTGCAGATGAGCTGATACAGGAAAATGGCAAAAGCACCCCTCCATAAGACACACCCACCAGTGCCATGTGAGTTTGCCATTCCATGGTAACACCTGGAAAATACTGCCCTTTTCCATGGCAATCACCTGAAAGTTACTACCCTTCTTCTAGAAGTGTCTAAATAACCTGCCCCTTAATTTGCATATAATTAAAAGTGGGTATAAATATGATTGCAGAACTGCCTCTGAGCTGCTACTTGGCTCACTGCCTATGAGGTATCCCTGCTCCATAAGGGTGTCCTCTGCTGCTGCTATGCATGGCTGCTTCAATAAAAGTTGCTGTCTAACACCACCAACTTGCTCTTGAATTCTTTCCTGGGTGGAGCCAAAAGCCCTCCTGTACTAAGCCCCAATTTCTGGACTCATCTTCCCTGAATCAAGAGTGCTCTGGGGTTGGGAGCACTAAAGTTTTGAAGGTAGGATGAAATGGAGGCTGTTCTCTCTCTGAGTCCTGAGCTCTCTTGGGGGCTCTGATGCTCCCTGCAACCTGAGCAGAAAGAAGTACCTGCAGCCCTAGGCCCCCAAAGGCAAACGCCCCTTCTGGGTCAGACAGGCAGCCCTTCTACTCTGCATGCCTGCAGAGCTTCTGGGGTTTTGTGGGGAGCCTCAGCAGAGCTGGATCCTGGTCTGTGGAGGTGAAGCAGGCCCCAGAATACATCATTAGCATCTAGAGAGTGGGAGGGTATGGACGGAAGCAAGGTACAGGCATCGTCAGCTCTAATCTAACCAAGTATAAAATTACTAGTGTGAATACACTTCCTGGAGCTAGGCTCTGGGGAGCCCTGGGCTGGTTTATATATAACAGGGTCTGTGTGGCTCATGAGGCTCCTTGTGGGACCTGGGCTACCTCATGATCACACAAACGAACCCACAGTTGGGATGCCGCTCCTGTGTGGACTGGACACATCTTCATTCAACTCACAAACTTTCCCTAAGTGGCCCCTGGAGACCTGGTTCTGGGCTGGAACCTGAGTGTGAAGCCACTGGAGGCTGAGTCATTGTAGGTGAGTTAGTCACCTTAGCCTGGCCGTCCTCTCTGCATAGAGCACTAGCCATACCTAGCAGACTGATATGAGTTCACCTAAGCAAGACAACTGTACACAGTGGTACTCAGAAAAAGCTAATAATTCCTTATTGAAATGAGACGGGGCAGGCATGGCAGCTCACGCCTGTAATCTCAGCATTTTCTGAGGCTGAGGCAAGCAGATTGCTTGAGCCCAGAAGTTTGAGACCAGTCTGGGCAACACGGCACAATCCCATGTCTACAAAAAACACAAATGTCATTAGCTGAGCATGGTGGTTCTTGCCTATAGTCCTAGGTATTGGGGAGGCTGAGGCAGAAAGACTGATTAAGCCTGGGAGGCAAAGGTTGCAGTGAGCCAAGATTGTGCCACTGCACTCCAGTCCGGGTGACAGAATGACACCCTGTCTCAAAAAAAAAAAAGAGAGATGCGACAACTCTTGGAGATCATGTGATGAGGTGTGGTTCACAGCAGGGCAAGGTGCAAAAGACCCTATGAGCCCCGAGGAGGTGTTGCTGATGACTGGGCATCTGTGAAGGCCTCAGAGAGAAGGTGACCTGGACCTGAAATGACCACGCTGTGGGTTTAGGAGCTGGTAGACGGTGTGGTAGGAGCACAGGTCCAGAATGTGGTTGGCCACACCCAGGCAGCACTGGACTGTGGACAAACTTGAATGCCAGGCCAATTCTGGTGAGGGAACACTAGGGACTGGGTTTTCCTCTTTTTATTTATTTGATTTTTATTTTTTTTTATTTATTTATTTTGAGATGGGGTCTTGCTCTGCCGCCCATGCTGGAGCGCAGTGGTGAGATCTTGGCTCACTGCAACTTCCGCCTCCCAGGTTCAAGCAATTCTCCTGCCTCAGCCTCCTGAGTAGCTGTGATTACGGGGGCACACCGCCATGTCTGGCTAATTTTTTTTTTTTTTTTTTTTTTTTTTTTTTTTTTTTTTAGTAGAGACAGGGTTTCACCACGTTGACCAGGTTGGTCTCGAACTCCTGACCTTGTGATCTGTCTGCCTCAGCCTCCCAAAGTGCTGGGATTACAGGCGTGAGCCACCACACCCAGCCTCCTCTATTGAAGTAAAAATCACATACTATAAAATTAACTGTTTTAAGACGTACAATTCAGTAGCATTGCGTGCATGCACAATATTGTGCAACCATCACCTCTTAGTTCCAAAATATTTTTATCTTCCCAAAAGGAAGTCCCACCTATTAAGCAGCTATGACCTAATCTGCCCTCCCTCTGACCCCTGGCCACCACTCACCTGCTTTCTATTGCTATGGATACCTATTCTGGATATTTCGTATGAATGGAATCATATAGTCTGTGATGTTTTGTGTACAGCTTCTTCCAGGTTGTAGCAAATATGAGCACCTCAATCCTTTTTATGACTGAATATTATTATTCATATTATTGTATAGATATACCACATTTTGTTTGTTGAGTCATCTCTTGATGGACATTTCCATTTTTTTGTTATTGTGAATAGGGCTTCTATGAACACTTATGTACATGGTTTTGTTTGAATACCTGTTTTCAATTCTTTTATGATGTGTCTAGAAATGAAATTGCTGGATCCTATGGTAATTTTATGTTTAGCCTTTTGCAGAACCTCCAAACTTTTCCATAGGCTGTGCCAGTTTACATTCCCATCAGCAATGTTCACATTCCTTCACTTCTTCGTCAACACTTGTTAGTTTCTGTTTGTTTTGTTTTTTGAGATGGAGTCTCACTGTGTCTCAGCCTGAGTAGGCTGGAGTGTGGTGGCACAATCACAGCTTGCTGCAACCTCCGCCTCCCAGGTTCAAGAAATTCTCCTGCCTCAGGCTCCCCAGTAGTCGGCATTACAGGTGTGTGCCACCACCCCTGGCTAAGTTTTGTATTTTTAGTAGAGATAGGGTTTTACCATGTTGGCTAGGCTGGTCTCGAACTCCTGGCCTCAAGTGATCTGCCCGCATCGACCTCCCAAAATGCTAGGATGACAGGCACGAACCATCATGCCCAGACTTCTTGTTGTTGTTTTTGGTAATAGTTATTCTAATGGGTGTCAAGTGGTATCTTATTGTAATTTTTATTTGCTTTTCCCTGATGGCTAGTAATGTTGAGCATGTTTTCATGTGCACTTTGTATATCTTCTCTGGAGAAAAGTCTTTTCAAGTTTTCTTCCCATTATAAAACTGTTGTTTGTCTTTTTGTTGTTGAGTTCTTTACATGTTCTGGATATTATACCTTTATGAGATAAGACTTGCAATGTTTTTCTCCCATATAATTGGTTTCCTTTTCACTTTCTTGGTAGTGTCCTTTGACATAAGTTTTAATTTTAAATTTTGATGAAGTCCAACATATCTATTTTTTCTTTTGTTTCCTGTGCTTTTGGTGTCATACTCAAAATCATTGCTAAATCCAAAGCCCATAAACACATGGAAAGAGGCTCAATATCACTTGCCATTAGATCAATGAAAATCAAAACCACAATGAGATACCATTTCATACTCTTTGGAGTAACTTATCTTTTTTAAAAAATGGAAACTAACCTAGTGCCACAGAACGACAACCTTAAAAATGTTTAAAATTGTAACTATTATGTCATGTGTCTTTTCCCACAACAAATCTTTGCATGGCTTCATACATCACCCCTTTCTCTCTTTCTCTTTTTAATTTTGAGACGGAGTCTTGCTCTGTTGTCAGACTGGAGTGCAGTGGTGTGATCTCGGCTCACTGCAATCTCCACCTCCCAGGTTCAAGCAATTCCCCTGTTTCAGTCTCCCAAGTAGCTGGGACTACGGGTACGAGCCACCACGCCCGGCTATTTTTTTGTATGTTAGTAGAAACGAGGTTTCACCATGTTGGCCAGGATGGTCTTGATCTCCTGACCTCAGATCACTCCTTTCTCTTACTGAATAGCATT